ATCACTGCCCGTGCCCACGGCGGGGGTTGGAACCGGATGATCTTCAAGGTCCTCTTCCAACCCAAACCATTCTGTGGTTCTGTATTTGTATTCTGTATCCCCCAGACTGGGGGAGCTGGGCCTACCGGGCTCCCCACGCAGCACGGAACTTGCTGCTGTCACGGTGTGTTGGGGACATGGTGATTTCCACACGGGTTGGAAACATTTTGTGTGGCAGTGCTGGATGGAGGAGCTGCCCCAAGGGGCTCTGTGCTCGTTCTGGCTCCACCCGTGTGTCAGGCATGCCAAGGAACTGAAGTAAAAGATGAGTTTGAGCCTTGGGATTTCTATCCCTCGGGAACAAGGAACAGAAGGTGGCAAAAATGCACGAGGGATGTATTTCTGTTTTAGAACGCAGAGGAGCCAAAAGTAAATGGAAGGATGAGGCTGGGTGGATAGCCAACCTGTGCAGCTAGCCCTGTAAAGGCCTTTGGGCACTCAGGGGGAGTGCTGCAAGCAAGAATCAGGGAGCCTCTTCCTGCCAGGTGCTAAGTGTGCCCCAGACATGAGGTGCAAATTGCATCTCATCGTACACCTTCTGCTGTCCTGCCCCAAGTGTTTACACCAACGCAGTCTGGTGCTGCCGTGAGGAGGGGTGGCCCTTCTCCCTGGCCTCTTGCTCCCTCTCCTCTGGCCAGTGAAAATGTTTGTGCAGTCCCAGCACAAGCTGGGTTGGGAAGCTGATCTGGGACAAGACTTGGGAGAGAGCAGTTTTGCTCTGGCTGGTCTCTGGATCCTGCAGTCACATCGGTGCTCACCCTGGTGCAAAGGCAGGGAGAGCAGAGGACAGGGAGGCACCTCCTTCTCCAGCAGCAGCATGGCCGGGCTCCTCTGGCCCAGAGGGTTGAGTAAGGGTTTGTAGGAGTGCCCAGCTCATCAGGTACTTCCCAGAGGTTCACTTGGCATCCGGCCAGGGCGGCCTTCTGCCATCCCTCCCCTGCAGTGACTCCTGGTGTGCCAACAGGAGTGGTGCCAAAACCTCCGTGCCCCTGCGCACCAAGGGCCGAACATCCTTCCTGAATATGTGTTTCCTGGTGGCAGAGAGGCAGAAAGTCTCCCATTCACCTGTTCTAATCCCTGAATAACCTTTGCCAAAACCCCAAGGTGCCTGCAGTGGCCCCAGGCTGCCATCAGTCTGGCAGCTGGAATTGGGCAGAGCTCCAGCCCCCTTGGTTCCCGCCTGCCATGAGGAATAACTGTCGGCAAAGGACCCGAGGGAGCAGAGCACTCAGTGAGGCATGAGAGCAGCAGGCTTCTCCTGGGGGAGTGACAAGCAGGCACGCAACCCTGTCTCTCCTGCTCACCCCTTCCTGGGTAGAGGCCTGTCCTTTCTCAGTGTCCAGGACCCTCCTCAGGGGTCACCCTGCCCTGCAGTTACCCTGTGCCACCCTTTTGGGTGTGCACGAAGGAGGCAATGGAGCCTCGCTTGGCCCTGCACAGAGCAGCCAGTGCTGCTTGTCTCCCACTCCTCCTGGGGTTTTCACCTGAGATGCAAAAGAAATACAGCAAAAAATGCTTTCACATGTTTGCCAAGCCCGGGTTACCTTCTTTAGCACCAGGAAGCATCTGTAGCCAACCTGTTTGGGTGTTGCTGGGGACTGGAGCTGAGTGGCAGCATGCAGCTGCCATCAGAGGCCCAGGCTGGCGAATCACAGCCACATTTCCTGCTATGGGGGCCCTTTCCCATTCCTTCTGCAGTCATAAGTGCTTCTGCATCCCGGGGAGACGCAGCATGTGTATAGCAGCTTGAGGGTGATGCTGCTGCCCCCCCACTCTTTCAGGCTCTTTGGGACCGATGCTGGGCCCTTCTCAGCATTCCAGTCTCCAGGTGATTTTGGGTGGCAGAAGTTTGTGCCTGGTGCTTGGGCTGCACTCAGCTTTTCACTTGTGGTTGTGGGGACAGGTTGGCCCAAAGTGAAGCAGTTTGGGTGCAGTGCCTGTTGTGGGACTGAGGGCAGGACAAGACTGCTTTTCTCTCTGGGATCCCTCATAGCTTGTGGCTACAACTCCACATTTGTGGCTACTTGTTGCCTCAAACATTTCTAGAACAGAAATGCCCTGGCAACATGGGGCCGCAGCACAGAGCTGGCAGTTTCCTCCCTCTGACCGAGCACCTCCCTCGGATGTGCCTCCTGCCTCCGCCTGTGCCCGTGTGGAGTGTGGGGTCTGTGCTGGGTACACGGGTAAAGGGAGAACAGGGTGTTCCCGAGGGCACGGCTTGCCTTCCACTGAAGGAGGCAGGCTCAGTGGAGCTGCGCTAGACCGAGATGCCATGAGGCTCAGCTCCATGTCCTCAGACGGGAGCCGGGCTGTGGGAGGTGTGTGAATCAGCGCACCGGGGGCTGCGGCAGGCTGCCGGCACCCGGGGGTGGGCACGATCCGCACCACTGGGTCTGTCTCCCCACAGCAAACCACCTCAGGCTGATGAGCGCTGGCAGGGCGTGCAGCCGGGGCAGAGAGGGAGGAAACCTTCCCAGCTCTCTGCTTTCACCGCCTCCACGGAGGAACTTCGAGTGGGACTGTTTTTGGTGGGTTGTTCCAGCTTTCCTGTGTCCAAGCTGTGAACACCTGAGGGTGAAACTGCTGAGCCAAACAGACCAGCCCTTGAGCCAGCAGCTCCCAAACACCTCAGAGGAGCTGGCTTTGCAGGGAGGGCATGTCTGACGGGGTAGGGGTGAGTGCCCTGCGTGCCCTGCCCAGCCTGACCTATCCCTGGGGCACGAGGAGTAGAGGTGTCCTGTTTCCAGGCCAGGCCCCGCTGACGCTGTCTGTAAACTGACTGGGAGATAAATATGCAAGGTGCAGTCATGCTGGTTAAGCTCCCAGCTGGTGGGCGAAGGGGGGAGGAGCCCTGCTTTTGCCAGGGAGCTTCACTGTCATCTGTCATGGGAGACTGTCCCAGGGCCTGCTCCTGCTGCTCCCCTTTCTTCCTTCTTAGGGCGTTACTGGCTCCTGTTCTGGCCCTGTTACACGGGGGCACTGTTT